ATAATTAATTCCCCCATATCCTTATTTTTTTCTTTTTTTCTTCCGGATATGCATTTCCACACAATACAGATTTCAGTACTGATAATGTCACCATTTCTTCTACTGTTTTTAAGTGTTCAGGAATAGCTAGAAGACACATTTTCAATCTATATCTTTTTACAATCTGTATCTCATCATTCCTCATCTCTTTTATTCAAGAGATTTTCTGGGCAGATTCCAATAGTTCATATCAATCTGTTTGTGTCGCTAGTGTTAAAATGTCAAAAGTCACGGCGTGAAAAGGGAAATAAAGCTTCTGCTAAGATTCTGGTGTCTTCATCTTCTATTCTTGTCAGTATTTTTGGAAGAGAAAACTTTGTCTCAGCCTATCCCACAGATGGCAGCCAGTTCCTACAGCCAGCTCTGTGGTCAGGTATCTGTGAGATCCCTCATTTGTTACTGCTGATGACAAGAACTTCATTTGGGAGAGAGGCCAAGGTACGAGGCTTGTGCTTTTGGTGGCTTGGCCTTTGTCCTGGCTCTAACTCCTCCTTTTACTGTGAGGCCCCCAGTCTGCTGACCCATGTCACAGTCTCTTCTGCACAGGCAAAAGTTAGAAGGGCCTTGATACTTTTGGCTTAGTCCAGTTGGTTACCTGGCTCATAAAGACATCAAGTGTGTCCTTGTTTCAGTGAAGTTTTACTATGACCCCATGTCTCATCCAGATAACCTCCGAACCTCATGGGGAAAATATGGTCAACTTATCCTTGAACTGTCTGCAAAGATCTTACAGTTTGAAGCATCTGAAAATAGTGAGCAGGTTATGCGGCATTAAGTTTTAGCAGCTAACTTGCTGCCTAAAGATGAAATGGCATTATTTTTAGTGAGTTAGTTGCTTTTGAAAGGCTTAGGGTGCTGGAAATATTTTCTCATCTTGTGGCAGAGATGATAGTATTTAAAAAATTAGCAGAAAAGAAAAAAAATTGAAATATCCATCAGTGAATGAGGAAAGGAGAGGGACTTGGGCATAAATCCCTTTATATTTTTATGGTGAAGGGCAGTGTGTTTGGGGAGTGAAGATTTGACATATATTTTTATTTTCAAACGTCATACTAATTTGCATTACTCAGCCCTTTAGCTGCCAGACTGTAGAAGTCCATTATGCTACTGAAAGGAATATACAAATTATCTTCTGGCACTTCAGGCAGGAGTTTTACTTATCCGCTGTTATTCTATCAGTCAGCAAGCTGCAAGATTCTATTAAGCAGTAAGTGAGAAAATTATATTGCCTGCAAACTAATTGTACAGAAGACTCTGAAATAAGTAATCAGCGCCCAATCCTTCCTGAAAACCAGCCAGGAGATATTATAAATTGCTCTATCACTCTTGTCAGCCCGCTTTAAAGACTCCAAACTGCCATGTTGATCTCATTCATCGTATAACGCGGCAACCTTTCCAGCTAGTGACAGAACTGGTCAAACTTGTATTCTTATTAGCTGCTCAGTTTCAGCCTTTAGCACCATGCACTGAGCAAGTAAATGGCAGAACTTCCTTCTAAATCCTGCTGGGTTATACAGATTGCCAAATGGTTAAATAATTTCTGTTTATTCTATTGTATGGAAGTAAATAAGTAATTAGGAGAGCATTGATGGCCAAGTAAATTTATTTTTATAAAAGTAGATCCACTAAAACTTTGGAGTTGAAACATATTTCTAGTATCACACGTGTATAGGTCACTCTGAAAGTAATGCCTCCTATTTATTTCTGTAGAAACAGCACAGTAACACTGTTTGATAGAGCAAATTCTCAGCTGCAGAACACTTTGTCAGCATAGTCACCACCATTACTTGTGCATTTTTGCCAGCGATGAACAAAAGCCTGCATGTTTGTAAAAATCTGTATGACTGTCCAGAAAGTAGCTTGTCTTTCACCTTGCTGTCACTACTGTTGGTGCTCATCACCCACCACCTCTGTGTGCTCATAGCCACTGTTTGGCCTGCGTAAGTGTTCAGCAAGCATCAATGAATGTCAGTGGTTGCTATTTTTTCCACATGGAGGAATTTAGCGGCACACCTTTGCTTCATATGCACTTCTATTTCAGACACCATTCTGTTGGACTGCCCCAATGTTGCCACATGGCAACAACATGTAATGGGATATTGATGGGAAAGTTCAGCCTCTAATGCCATACCACCTTACTGCTTTTGATGTCATGAGCCAACATGATAAAATAGGTGATGTTACTTTCAGAGCAGCCTTCATATTTTAACATATATATCTATTAAAAATTCCCAAATGGGTGTGGGTTTTTTCCTTTTTTTTTTTTTTTTTAATAAGAAAATCTCACTAATAGAAGTAGGGAAAGTCTATCTGTGCTGGTAGATGATAAAATTCTGCATTCATATATGAAGTGGTAACACAGTTTTAATTTCCTTGAACTCTCATTGCACTCTAGCCTTATTTTGAAATTCAGAAATACTAGGAGGACCACACATGGCTGTTGGTAAGATATGAATAGTTGTTGCAGCTATAAATCTGGTTACTGTATCTCCTTTGAGTTCATTGGAGAAACTCTTTCCAACACCTTCCAGGTTTGTTTTCTAAAATCAGAAATAAAGATGTAGCGTCTGCTGTAAAAAATATATTTTTTTGAAGTAGAGCAGCCTGAATTTGATAGTAAAAGATTCATCATGCTATAGAGCATTGCTGTGTTTTAGAGAGTTTTGAGTAAGGCTGACATTGCATTTATGGATTAGAAGAGTTTGCTTAGGAAAATATGCAATCTTCCAAAATTTTTCTGATTTTCAGTATTGCTCTTTGATATCAGCTCCTGGACTTTTTTCCTAGGGGATGTTCTACTTGCCTCTGTATTTGCCATGCTGTGTTATAATCTCTGTCTGGGTTTTGATCACAATAATTTTTGACCTTGTGCAAAGATCATCTTTGATCTTATGCAAAACACATCTGATCGCATGTTTCTTTTTTTTTGTAATTGGGGATAGTAGTACATACATTACTATGATATTATGAAGTTAATTAGATAAAATCTATGAAATGCTTTGAAGATCTCCATGCACAGTGGTTGTGCCTGTGCCTTACTGATAATGTCTCACTACAGCGTGAGAAGATAATGTCTTTTTTTTTTTTTTTTTTTTAAAGACATTACCATCTTTTCCTACTCATGCTTCCAGAAGTATTATTTTCCTATTTTTGTTAGTGCAATTGAGAAGGCAGGTCTGCAGGAACCATCCTACCAAATTTCCTATTCAGCATATCCTTCAGTTTCTCAAATGTCTGTCTTCTCAGGAGTTGAAGAAGGGGAAGAATGCTAAACTGAAGTTTTAAGTTTTGTCAATGAGAGCTACTTGTATTCAGCCATGCCAAGATCCATTTTACTTGCCAACATTGCTGCTTCAGCCATGCAGCATGTTTAGGAGAAATAAAACCTGCAAAATATGTTGGTTTTGTTGGCAGAACTTACTGTGCAGACCTCCTTTATCATAAATACTTAACCAATTTTCAATAGATGTAAGTGGTTTAAGTATTACTTCCTGTTGAATTAGCAGTTGCTGAGCATTTGAGTCTTTGTGCAATCCTGCAATCCACTAATGTGATATTTAATGAGGAGACATCAGTCTGGAGAAAGGTAGTCAATATAAATCAGTGTTTACAAAGTGTGATTAACTCTGAAATATTTCATCAATGCTGTGGTCCCAGGCAGACTCTATGCTAATTATTAGAACCTGCACATGTTTCAGGGGACTTCAGTGGACCCTGAGTGCAGCAAACACGGAGCAGCAAAATTGCAATTATGCTCGGACTGTCTCTGATGACAATTTATGCATTTGGTGTGATGACCTCCTGTTTCCCTAGAGGGCAATAAACAGAATGCATTTTCATTAAGATACTAATGCACTTAATCACAGGGGGAAAGGGTTAGAAAGTAAAGAAATACCTTTAAAGCAAGATGTGACAGGCTGATGGGGAAGACACTTTATTTAAAAGTCAGTTTCATGATAAAACTTCTGACTGCTACAAAGTCTGTCATACTGAATGTAGTCATGAGCAATAGGGTGCGTGGCTAGGCAGAAGAATAAGCTGAGCTAAGCTTTTATGAAGAATGCAGTGGTACCATGACAAAAGAGAATAGATGCTTCCTAATTTGGACTTGGATTCCCAAAGACATGATTTGAAAATGGTATAAAGAAAATGATTTATGCATGGCCTTCCCATTAATTTTCAGACTTCTTATTTTTGAGGATTACTGTTATGTATTAGTAGTAATTAAAAAACTAGCATCAGTGCTTTGCCACTGAGGCTTCATTTTTAAGAATCTAGCTTGTGATTGGTCTTACGGAGGGTTGGGAGAAATAGAGGAAAGGATCTCCTGTAAGTTTTTGCTGTTCTGATCATCTGATGCCTCTCAATAGAAGAACTTTATGTGAAGTGCAGACAGATAGGAGCGTTCCCAGGCAAGGAGATCTGATGCAGCAGTGATGGGATTTGCTGGGAAGCGACAGCAGTGCAGCTAAGTCCTGTCTGATACGATGCAGTTCTGGAAGAGTGAAGTTCTATAAAATTTCTTTCAGATCTTTTTGAAATAAAACAGAATAGTCATCTTGTATTCTATCCAAAGAAAGGCTGACGACATCTGCAAACAACAGGAAATGAAGAGTGTTCATGTTAGGAGCCTTTATATGTTTGGCTTGATACATCCCACCAGCAGGAGTAACTGATGTGAAGGATTTTGTTTGAGACTGTGCATGGATCTAGATATGAAATCCATCAAGATTTTTTATTATTATTATTATTGTTTTAACATATAGCTGTCTAAATTAAAATATTTCATTGTTTAACTTGGCTTCTTTTTACTTAAAAGATATATTTTTTTTGTATAGTTATTTATTCTTCATATGTTCCACAAGTAAACCCAACAGCAATGGTGTAAGTACGCTTATATCTGCTCTATTGGTTGTTCATTTATTCTGAATACCTCTTTTTCTCTGGGCTTTCTATCACAGGTAACATAGAATACAGCTGCCCAGCAACAAACGAATGTGAAATCACAAAGCGCAGACGCAAGTCCTGCCAAGCCTGCCGCTTCATGAAGTGTCTAAAAGTTGGCATGCTGAAAGAAGGTAAGACTGATCAAGTCAATACCTATCTCTCTGCAAACGCATTCAACAACTGTAGAGCAATCAGGAAAGAAGAGATAGGTGAGAGTTCTGATCGGTTATTGTAAAGGCAATTTTCAAGTATACTTGCTCTTCCTGACAGTCTTAAATGTCAGCTAAGGAATCGTGGTGTATCTACACGGAGTATGTCTTCTCTGGAACATTTATTCTTAGCTGAAATACAGAAAATGTGCCACAGCATTCACTTTCTTTCTGTAGATAACTATTAGAATAATCATCAGGAGACATCCTCTCATTTTTCTTAAAACTTTTACATCGTGACTTTTCAAAGATTTATTTCTTTCATTATTATTATTTTTTTTTACCTTCTGTTAGTCTCTCCCAAATACAGCAGAACTGTACATTGTGCCCTCTTCTCCCCATTTTTGCTCATTCTTCATGCCATCATGACACGTGAAAGGGTTATCTCTCAATTAAACATACATAAATCTTGAGCATGTCTGCAGAAGTTGTTGTAACTGCACTGCAGCAAATACCAGCATACAGAAGAGGAGAATCCACCCCTCTTTTTTTAAGCATATGAAAACCCCTGCTCTCAGTGTAAGTATGCATTGGGTGCTTAATTCTTCAGTTACCTTTTGAAGATGTTTACTAACAGATACACGTATGAAAATGTTTCCAAGAATCTGTGCTATCCTACTTGAAACCTAATGAATCTGTTTTATAAAATAAGATCATTCCTAAAATCTTGGTTGCCTGCCATGCTCTTTATTAATGTATTTGCAAAAACACACTTTTACGTGCATATATTGTACATGTTATTATCGTGGTGCATTGTTACTACCAAGAAGGAATAATAGAATATGTTTCATACTTTTGAGCTTCATAGCCTTTTAAAATAAAATCTAAACTTTAGTCTAAACTCTAAATATTGTCTTCATTGGAAAGTTCTCTGTGCTAAGTAACCATTTCAAAATAGTCCCCTACAGTTTTGTTTTGTCAGTGCTTAAAATGTTGGCTTTAATAGATGGCTAATTTTTGCAAATTATTTGATGGTAATTTGAAACATGTTTCGGTATACATCTGTCAGGTTAAAATCCAGGAACAATATAGACCAATGGAGAGATGATGGGCAAATTAGGTCTATCACGCACCTACAGACATATTCTTATTGGATTATACTTACTAAGAATAAACCTTGTTCTGTACAACTGCTTTGGCAGACGCTAGGATCCTTTGAGCCAAATCCTGCTGTCCTAAGTCTTACTTGAGCAAAACTGTCAGATTCGATGGGGATTTTGAGTCAGTAAGAATGGCAGGATTTGACCCTTTCTTCCAGTGGTGGTGGTTGAGTTCCTCATTTGCCAAAAATCCTGATGTAGCTGACAACTAAGTAATTGTTTAAAGCTGTGAAGCTTACATAAACAGTAGAATGAAAGGAACATTTGAACATGGCACCTTTTGAAATGACCTGTGCTTAACATCTTTTTTTGGTAAGTTCATTGCCCCGTATCACTGGCAGCCTAATACAGATATGTTGAACAACCTGATTGGAAACAGAACAGTGCTATTAAGAGTCCAGGTGAACCAATTTAGCCTTCTTTTAAAATTTGGGGATAGAATTGCATGTCCTTTAGCACACACACTTGAAAATCTAGTTTGTGTGTAGCTTCTGGGTCTGCATGAGGAAATTAAGTGGCTCTTCTACAAATGAGTAGTTATGTCAGTTATCAAAGTTCTGCACAGAAGTACTATTTTTATGCACATAATTTTGGTAACTGAAACAATTAGAGAATTCAGAGTCAAGTGATTGGACTTTTTGCATAAATTATAATTCAGGAATAGTTTTCTTACTCATTACATAAATGGTCCATCCTAAACAGACATATCTTTCTGCAGTGATGAACTAATTCCTTTAAAGGGAGCGTTCCTTTGTGAGCCCAACTCCCTAACAAATCCTAGTTCTTCCACTCTTATTGTGTGTCTTTCTATTAAAACATGCTGAGATTCCTACTTATTTTTAATCACTGGGTCTCCTTATTTAGGAGTGAGTTAGCTTTTTCTCCTTTCAAACAATGCTTACCTACAATCTAACAGGGTAACTTAAAAGAGCTAGGAAGTGGGTTTTTTTCTCCTGTGTGCTTTTGTGGTCACTTCTACTTTTGGAACAGTGCTGATTCGTGCTACACTTATTGAACTTTATTTGGAATATATTTGATTTGTTTTTGGATGGTTTTTCTGGAGAGACAAATTGGTCTTCTTTTTTGTTGGATTTTTCTTTTTCTTTTTTTAAATGTATGCTAATGTCTGAGGATTAGTTTTTTCACTTTGGATTTTAAAACATCCTTTATGCACAGAAAGTAAAGAAAGATGATATACCTCTTTCTTTTCATGTGTAAAGTAGTGTAAATTTATTGATTACTATGGACTTACAGCAGGCATTATCTCAGCTCAGGGTATCTTAAATGTTTCTTTATGTATAGACAAGGATTTCAGTCCCATGCTGCATGTCAGAGATCATGCGGCAGTAAATCTATTCAAATGTAAACCTGTTCAATTCAATTACCAGTTTATAATAAAATTTGCTGCTACAGCCTCCACGTTTGTCACAGCAGTCTCTACATGTTGATGGCACAGCATGCCTGGAAATTGACAGCCTAAATCTATTTAAAAAAAAATTTAGTTTCAGACCTGAAATAAAATCAAGTTTAAGCAGCTTTGAGAGAAGCATCATATTCCTTACAAGAACTTCTGCACATCTGCCAATGTGTATCTTCTCCATAAACTTCAACCTATTGGTGGGGAGATTTTTTTCTAGGAATTTTCCCTAATAAGCAGTTTTTAATATAGTCATAAGTGAATCAATTATCAGACGTTGTGCTTCTTTTCTTGTTTTGAGAGAATTTATTAGTTGGTCATTTTGTGAATTGTCAGATGAGATTCCTTATATAAATGGCAGTACGTAGAAAAGGATCCTGAGCTTTATTTTAGCTTTTTGGACAAGGTCTGAAAACCGTGTTACTCACAGCAACTATGTCTGTAGTCACTTTTTCTTATGGTAGTTATGTGGTAAATCACTTACTGGAGGAAGATGTTATTGCTTTTCATCTGGCATCCACTCTTTTGTGAGAGACCTAGTTCGAATTTTGGGGCATTGGGAGGGACTTAGATTATTCATCACGAGTAAAACCGGATGGAGCTGGGCATTTTTGCTCTCATTCTCGATGATGTTGATGAATTGTGGCCAGCTACACCTAGATCAAGATTCTTAATTTAGAAGAACTAACATCCCTAACAGTTTAGGTTAGAAGCTAGGGAAGGAAAGGAAAATAAATGTAGAAGTGTGGTGGTTTGAGGTGGGATTGAAGTCATGGTTTCTGCTCCTGTTGAGTGGTACAAGGACACTTCCACAGGTGGATTGAGAGGGAGCAATTCATTCTGTTGTAACTTATGGGCTGTCACTTGAAAACATAAGTCTAGATGGACTGAGATTTTTAAGTATGCATTATGCTTCATACTGAAGCATTCTGTAGATACTAACAAGGTTTTAAGAACATGACAAATAAAAATGTGTCATGATTTCATTTGCTTTCCTAGACAATTGTTTTTTATAGCACAGAAGAATACACTTTACTCAAAGAAGAAATTTTAAACTCTTTCTAATTTTTTTCAGTAGTATGAAAGATAAGATTTTCAAGGATCACAGTTGTTCTTAAATACAGTTTCTCTGACTATGGTTATGTTTCAATACGTTGCCTATGATTTCCCATAACAGAGGAAACAACATAAAGATTCTTGTGTAGTTTAGGCAAGAACATTTAAAATGTATCCCTAGTGGTTTCTCTAAGTAATAATATAGGTGCTGAAAAAGGAGGTGGGGAAGGGAATTTTCCCCTCTTTTTTAAAAATCAATGCTTTTAGCTATTCTATAGTTGTCAGTACTGTTGTTTAGTAATCAGTCTTTCAAATTTGGCCCTTTAGACACCTCAGAAGCCACTTGTTGCCTTCAGGTGGTAGAATTAAATCTGTGTTCATCTGCAGGAATGGGTGATTTAGCTATTTTTCTAGCTAACTAGAACTAGCTAAAGCTAGTTAGAATGAAATAATGGGCAGACACATCTGATGTTTGTTTGGTTGGTTAATTGTTCATAAGTCTGCTTGAATTCTATTTTCTGTTTCCCATTAGTTCTTTATGCCTTTTAATTCAATCTGTAGGATTGGCTTTCTAGAATTTGTCTGTGATGGAAAATGCTATTCCACATTTATCACATTGCAGTGTTACAGTAGCTACCCACCTAAAATAATTCCACTGGAGTAATTATTCCAAAATAAAATTACTTTTTATTTCAAGTACAGTGTTTTTACAGCTATTTTCACAAGAAGTTGTTCCATATGTTTCAGTTTTCTCCACGGAGACAAAACCACAGCCTCAATTTTATCTGTTCCTATACTGTAGCTGCATTCAGAAATATAGTTAAGAGGGAAATCCATTGGGCAGCACTAACACAGTTCGATTACCGGAAAAAAATGTCTCCAGTTATTGCTCTTACTAGACAGTAATAGTTTATACTTTTAAAACCACTGTTGATATTGAAACACCTCCTTTATCTTCAATGTCTGATATTTTCAGATTTTTGTAGTTTTTTGTTGTTGGTGGTGTGTTTTTTTGTTTTGTTTTGTTTTTTTGTGGTAATTGATGTTCATTGCTTGTTATTACAGAAAGTGCAGCTGAGAAAGAAAGAGGCTGATAAATAAAGAAACAAATTCAGTTTTATTTGGAAAGGATGTAGTGTACCAGAGTGAAATAGCATATAAGTATGCTTCTGTTTTCCTTATGGAAAACATTTATTTTAGCTGATAAAGATGGCCATCAGTTACTTTGCACCTAGTTAGAATAGACATGATGATAGTAGTCTAGCTTAATTAGTCCACTTATTAAAAATGGGAGGTCAGATCCCTACTTAGTAGAAATGAAGCTGGTGGCTGCTCCGGTTTAGCAATCT